CGGTGGTCGCTAACATCTGCTCCCGTTTCTTGGTTAGACCAAGAAACACGGCGCTCAGCACCATTCAGACCATGTTAGTACCGTTCACTCCCGAATGGAAATGTGCCCAATGGCCTGTTTGGAGCAGAAATTCGGTGGCGTTCCGGAGCTCAGAGCAGATGGAAGCCCTCTCGAGAGCCCAGACGAAACCCACTGTTGTGCAGGCGACTCTCGACTCGTGGTGACCCTGTGGGTTACAGCACAGAAGCGAGTCGCTTAGGGCTTGTCCTGTCTGCGGTCTGTATGGAAGCAGACGGCCAGGCCTTCCTTCTGCTGCACCCCCGCGCGAGCCTTTGACTGGCCCCCTGTGCACTGCTCTCCTAGTCCAGCCCAGATGGGCTCCCGCGGGCTGCACCCTGCTGGGGCTGCGGTCCAGGGTCCTCGGGGTCTGCTGGCAGCGAGCGGAGGAGAGGCTGCAGGGACGCGGCTACACTGCTCTTTGGTGCACTGTTTCCTGCCGGAGAAATAGTGGAATGTGAACCTATTTTAACAAGAGTTGAAAGTGGAGGGTTTAAAAAAAAATCCTATCGGTTGTTTTCCTGTCTGTTTTAAAGGTACGGTAGCAGCCATGGGTGAAGAGTTAATGCAGTCTAAATTGGAAACACCCCATCGAGAAGATTAGCTGTCAGAGTTGGAGCCTGGGGCCAGGATACGTTGCGGTTGTCCATGCCTGTCACTGTCCAGCAGGTGGCGGCGCGCTAGAGGCTTTCTTCTTGCCTTGGCTGCACACGCGGGGAGGACTGTCCTTAGAGGTCAGCCCTGAGAGAAGGTGACGTGGAGCTGAGATAAGCATAGCCCAAATCATGCTTATCCAAACCAAAAATCTATACATCCAGTGGAAAGCTGGCTTCGCCATATGTCAGTCCATTCCTTCGTGGGAATTGCCTTTCCAGGTGTCTTGTAAGGAAGGACCAACCCTCATGGTCATGCGGGGCATCACGAGGGGAGTCTCGGGGGCTGTGGACCGCACCCCCTGACTTTGTCGAAGGGGGTAAAACCAAGATGACCACAGAGTTCCAGGGGGTGGTGGCAACTGCCGGGGCTGCCAAGGCAGCGATGTCACTTAGGAATGATGTCACCTCTTAGCCACCCCTCATCCTCAGGCGTCCATCAGGGGCCATCCAGGGCGCATCCTGTGCGCACATCACACCACGGGAGGCACACAGGGAGCCACGGGGCAGGGGCTGGTGAGAGGTGCCAGCTGTGCCACCACCCTGGGGCGGTTGGGGGTGACAACGGAGCGCCACCGCCAGCCCTCGTCATGCCCCCGTTCCCCGTGTGGTTTCTAGAAAGTAGAGAGCATTTGATGCCGTGGATGACAAGGGTGCTGTGTTGGAAGAAGGCAGAGGTGGACCCTGGGGGACCACGTGCCGTGGAGTCGTGGCGACCCCGCGCGCGCGTGCCAGAGTCTAACTACGCTTCATGGAGATTTCAGGGCTGCTTTGGAAAGCAGGTTGCCACGTCTTTCTTAGGAGGGGCCTCAGCTTCAAATACCCATTCTTTTCAGTTAGCACTCAGCCTGTGAACCGTTTGTACCACCTGACCAATCCCAGACTGTTGAGGCGCAAGTTCAATATGGCCCTCAGCCCAAGGAGGGAGCAGCAGGGAGGGCGGTGTGCCGACTCTCAGCCTGGAGACCAGGCTGTTTCTGGCTTCTGCAGGAGACTGCTTGCTGGGAGCTATGTCCAAACTGCCTCTATTTCTCAATAAATCGGGGACATTCTGACCTTGTAGGCAATGGGTGACCACACTGAATGTTTGCCCAGAAAATTAACTGTCAGTTGGTTTGCTTTTAAATTTTACTGCTGCGTCTAAACTGTGATAAAACACGTGACTTAAAAAAAAAAAAAGATCCCTTTCACCTGGATAATTTGTTCTGAGGAAAGGCGTCAGGACTCTTGGCAGTGCTTTCCAAGTTTGAGCCGGCTGGGACGTTCTGGATCCAGAAAGCGACATTGGAATGCTAGGGCTAGGAGCAGAGCACTCTGCGGGTCCTAAGGCACTCAGATCCCTGCACTAGAGGGAGAGGTTCCAGGCGGATGGAGACCACCAGGCGGATGGAGAGCACCAGACAGCCTCCATAGGACGGCGCAAAATGGAGTGCACACGCCAGGGCTCGCCCACCAGCCGTTGGCAGCCTCTCATGGGAGGAGGAGCAAAGCTTGGGAAAAGCCGGGACTGTCGCGTGGACAGTGGCCACTCCATGGCAAGCAGAGATGTTGGACTTGATGGATACCCATGGCCACCCCGTGTGTGTCGAGTGGAATTCTGCTCTAGGGGTCTCAGGGATGGGTTTTTAGGTCGGGTACTGTATTAGTCTAGGTACTTTAGAGAAATAAATCCACAGCAACTCATGTA